TATATATATATATATATATATATATATATATATTAGCAGCCATCTATACATTAGACGTAGTGCCGTCAAACTCATGGGAAAATGTGCATAATAAATACAAAAATTAAAACGTAGAAAGGATACAAAAGAAAGCTCATCGCATTTTGTTACATATCCCTCCATCTTTTCCGTCACTTTAGGGATTACAATGTTGAGGGGTGGAATAAAAACATAAACTCATGCAAATCTTCCATCTTCCCAGATTACGCTCCTTGTCTTGAAGAATATCCAAAAAGCGATATTTTTCATCTCTAAGTCCCCAACCCAGAGGACGCACGGCACTGACAACAGCTAGACTTGAAGTCGACACGACGTTTTATTGCCAGGTGGTAGGCTGACCACCAAGCGATTTCTTACGGTACAGCTGTATGCGAGCGGATGGAGCGCGCCGTATTAAATGCTCGCACGGCATGCATAACACGGGAGCTAGCCACATCGGTCGGCGCAGCGGTATTCGCTTGTCACTAGGGAAATCCTTATTATCTAAGATGCGACATCTAGCAAAGTCGTTGCAAATGTGGTATTCCTATCACACACTAACTGTTCTCTGCAGACATTTGTTGTCAAAATCCGACGCATGTAATGTACTAGAATCAGCCAGCACTCACTTCAGTACAACCGTACCGCACGAGCGCAAGCATTATAGACCCTGGTCTTCCCCGGGAGTTAGACGTCACAACGAAGCCACAAATGCCTCAGCTTAGCGAAAACGGGTCGTGCTTTGGCAATACGAACAGAAATTTCCCTTACAGTGGTGTCATCAGCAGAAACTCAGTTCACAAAGTAGTTGAAGCTGCGCGCCCACAAGAATCAGCACTGGGGCAGATGGATACCAATCGTGGAGTAGGACTTTGCATTTCGACGGGGCGAAAGTCATGCCATGCCTTGTAGTTTCTCTCCACGCGGTTTAAAAGAACCTGCATGATCTGTGGGTCGGCACCGAGCATAGTCCAAGTAAGACGCGCAGTTGCATGGAAGTAGCTCTATATCAGAATTCTGGGGATTTATAAAAACGCTTGATAGAATATCTTTAAAAGCAAAGTTGAGGAGAACTGGTGACATGAGACATCCCTTTTGCAGATCGCTGGTGATAGTGGAAGTAGACAGATTACCGTAAGTTCTCATTCTGTCCGAGATATTGTTACATTGTGCTCGAAAGATATTAGCATACTTTTCGGGTGCTCTATTGTTTTTCAAAAAACGCAGTAAAGCCGGCCGATTGACCGAGTCGAACGCAGCTCGGATGCCCAAGATGGCGACAAGAGGTTACTGGTACAAGTGACGCTGCTCAAGGGGTTGTCCGATTGTAAACATGTGGTCTACACGCCCTCGAAAGTGGCGGAAATAGATCTGTCCTTCACAGAAGTATAATTCTTGAATCAGTTGGAATGGATGTTGACAATTAGGTGGCGACAGATAATACACTGATTCCTGTGGTTGGCGTATAAGGTACTAATATCCTTTTTGAAAGTCGGTGCAATAATCGACTTGCTCCAAGAGCATAGAACCTTGTCCTCAAACGAGATTTAGGAGAACAGAACTGTTAACTAGTTGGCAATTATTTGCCACCGTACATGAACAGCTCCGGAAGAATTCTGTTTGACGCAGAGGCCTTGAATCGCTTCAAGTGCTGAAGCTCAAGTCAGACTGCTTCCAAGGCATACTTATTAGACAGGCGAAAAGAGGGGAACAACTGAATTGACAATGGAAGTGTTTAGCCCAGAGGTCCATGCGTCAACGCAAACGAGTGATTGTTGATCCGTCAATTTTTCAGGTGGCCTCAATGACGTCAGGTCTTGTGGCCTGTAGTCCGGCGAAAATATCTAGAGAGCTGCCGTCTCCATCTCTAAAGTGCGTGGAGACCACCAAGTTTCGTGATCGTTACGAAAGCTCTCCTTGAATAGTTGTCGGACGTTGCGGCGCATTTGGTGCAAGAAGAGCGAGTGAACCGCTCAGTACTACTATATTACGCATCAGGCTCCGGTGGCTTGACCACGTGTTGCACATGCCAGTACACCGACTCCCGCGACGTGCATTGTTTGCGCGTTGTGGGTGCGGTTGGTAGAGGAGGAGGAGGAGAGGCCAGGCGATGACTTGGTCGAGAGCAATGAAACCCCTCGCAGCCGGCGTCCACAAGTGCATCCCGACTGCCAGGCTGGGGTGCTAGGGACGATGATCACATTTGGTTGGACACACTTTTTGACATGGCGAAGAGCCGGTCCCAATCGCGTCTGTGTTGTGAGTTTCTCCGTCCATCCCCTCCAATCCAAAACACATGGTATAATATTTAACATCATAGTAATTGCTTGGAACCTTTTTTGTGGTATAATTTTTTAGTCTGTCATCTCTTTGGATTGCGGCACATTAGCTGAGGTGTTTATCACCATCAGTTAACGTGTATTGATGATGATGAAGTTGCAGCGGACTTCACCGCTACTTGAATCAGCCAGGATAGCTCGGCAACGGTCAAATAATTCCAAAGAGCGAGCAGAGATACAGCCACTCAGAGGAGGCGCAGCGATTCCACAGTATGATTGGCCGGAAGAAGGCAAGGTCTTCGGCAAGAAATTCCAGGGATGTTCGACACTAATAGATTGAGCACTAGCGAACGCAATTGATAAAGAGGATTGATAGGTCAGTTGAATGGAAGGGTTAACTAGCCTGTTGGTTTCCAGCGTACCGTGCTTTTGTTACGCGGAACCGCCAAAGTGCAGATGTTCGCATAGAACACAGCGTGACCTGAGTCGAGGTATGAAAAATGGAATCCTGTAATGGAATCTCAGAAAGACAACAGACATCAATAGCGATGGACTCCAGGGTTCGCGTTTCACCGGCCTGTTGTCCGATCCGCATAGGGGTTAGAATGTTGAACGTTGCCAAAAGAAATGGAGATCATGTCGAGGGAGAACGACTGGTCAGAGCCATTGGACATGAGTGAGATTGTCAACAGAGGTAGATTCAAAGAAATTATTGGCGAAGCTAGGATTGACGTTTTATGAAGAGGAGGAGTGGAAGAGAACAGCGTAGTAGCAGTAGTTACGGGATCCAGATGAACTACCTAAGAACTTCGGTGAACCAAGTCGGCTGAATTGCCCTTCAACCTTCTCGACCAAGTGTTCCAACCGAAAAGCTTACATTTTTAGCAAATGCTTTTCCATTTACGAGGGTCTTTTTTGGACCGTGCGTCAATAAGCTCCACGGCCAACGATCAGCTTATCGAATTGCACTAGATACTTACTCGACGAACTCTAGCGAACGGCAGTACAAGTGTACTTTAGCTGCGGCGCAGAACTTGGTAGCAGTGAGCGGAATAAACATGCGAGATGAAAGCATTAGCGAAATAAAAATACAAGGTGCGTCTGATAAGTTCGGTGAATGGTTCCACATGTGGAAAACCGCGGTGGTTTGGATGAGGGGTCCGCACATATTAATCACTGAGGTGAATCAATGGTGTACGCTGCGAGCAAGCTAAAGGAGTCAGTGTAAGTACTCATGTCATTTCTAAATGGAGCAACTGGTTAACATGAGATTTTGGTTCAACTTAGGCAACGGCTACGGAAATGTTAGTGTAAGTGTACGTTGAGTACAATGTGTGTTTGAGTGGCTCGCAAGCTTTAGCGACGCGTTCGGGTCGACAGTGAATAAGCGTAATCCCAGACAACCTCGAACGAGCGCGACGCATGCTTGCGGTGAGTTTCTGAAAACGATCGCACAGGAGTTCAAGGTAAGCAGATACAGTGTGTAAGCAGTACTGCTTCCGAAAAATAAAAAAGCGGAAGATTCGTGCCCGGTTTATACCGCCAGAACTATATTGGAGTGGACAGTGGAAATGCCGCACACAGTGGAATTACCGCACACTGCGATCAGAGTGGTCAACTTTCTCGATCAATGCAAGTTGATCGCTCTGTACAACTCGCCTTGTTCTTAAAATTCGGTGCCTACAGATTTCGTTTTGTTTCCGTGCCTTAAATTGGCCCTGAAAGGCTTACGCTTTATCGAAGTTTCGGATATACAACTATGCGAGACCACGGTGCTTCGAGCTATGCCACAGGTGTTTGCTGACAGTTTTACAGCCGATGTCAGAAGTGTGTTGCAGCTAATGGATGTTACTTTGAAGGCCGGTAGAAGCATTTTGATTGAAACTGATGTTGGTTTTATTTTCTGAGACCATTCACTGAACTTTTCAGATGCACCTTATTCAACAGTGCATGCAGAGTACTGCTCTTCAAGCCGTGATCGACCAGCGCAACAAATTATCAAAATCGGCGCGAAAGGACCTGAACCCCAAAGATCTCGTCAACGCACACATCTAAGCTCGCACAGCCAACACACCTGGAGACCAACCGGCTCGCTAAACACAGCACAGGATAGTGCCGCGTTGCAAAAAGGAAAGAGGCATAGCGCAACAAAAACGAACGTTGATTTGTGTAATGCGAAAACACCAACAAGTAAAACGGTCAGGTGGTAATAAGCGGAGGTACGAACACGGAACAAAGACATGAGAGGAGTTACACGTACATATTCGCATTCGAGTCGCTGAAGTGATGGTGAATTCTGATTACGAAAACTGCTTGTGAGAGAGACTCCCAGATGGAAATGGTGAGAAGGCGGAGTAGGGTTAGAAGCACGATAGGTAACAAACAAACTAAGGTCATTTTACATAACACCGGAGAATTACAACAATGCATCGAAGTCCGAACGAACGCATTCCATGGGGCATGTGTATAACGCAGGAAGGTAGTGTTCACTATGGCAATATGAACAATGATAAAGACCTAGGAGGTGGGGCAGGGGACTAAGATTGGCGATGCTCGGTGGGGAAATGTGTGCATGGAGCAGCTTGCTTTAAGTAGTTAACACAGTTAGAGGTTATCGGCAAATGCGCCATCGAAATAGTACACAACGTCAAGTGCTGTACACTCAAAGCAACATAGAAACCAATGGTAACGGGGGTTCGAGCATCATCGCCGCGGCGTAATGACGGGTTTGGATGAAGTGTCCGAAGTAGGGGCAACAATAGGCGATGGTTGAGTATCTTCTTCTTCCAACACACCATCGAGACTGTCACTGCCTTCGTCGCTGGGAACATCAACACTGGCTGTAGTGCTGGAGCTGCCACTTACGAGGCTTCCACATTCGTCTCGACCAGGTCCCGATAGGCCAACATCAGAAGAGTCGGTGGAGTGAACAGCAGGAGAATGTGCAGGGGCAGTTGAACTACTGCGTGACGAAGGATCACTTGTCAAGCGAGTAGAATTCGCCGGATAGGTAATTGAACTTGCATATTTTTGAGTCCACTGTCGAGCAATCCGATCGTGTTCAGCTCGATTGTGTAAATATTGATGTGCAATAGATCCTACAAGTGGATCCGCTGGATTGCAGTCCGTCAACAATGAGCAGATGGAGAGCAACACTTTGCTTATGGTGAGTGCCGGGGACCAATTATTCTAGTAATTGGAAGAGAAAAGAGTAAGTAGGTTAGTGGAAACCAATGTGATTGCGAGCGCAGCAGTGCACTGGTGAAAGATTGCAGCTGATGTTGATGGTTACAGACTAATAGATTAAAAAGCACACAATTATGGATGCTATATCAAGAAAATTGGGTTATCAAAAGAAACTAAGTTGTACAATGGGTAGCAGCGTTCGAAACATTGATAACTTGATAACTTTGTGTGAAGCAGGTAACGGTTTCGGAGTTTCTTAGATGCAAGAAATGGCCGGATGAAAGACGGTTACCGATCGGATGGTACCACTAAACCCAGTCATTGGAGAGACGACGAAGAAAACCGTCGTTCAAACAGTGTGACCCCAGGCGTGAGCGACAAGTAGTGAGACAAAAACAGCACTTTTTTGCTCCAAAAGCGAAGATGGTTGTATAAACTTGAGTAACAGGATTCGAGTCTGACTGGACCAAGAGGTACATTGAAATATACACAGGCTCCGTTCGGAAGTACTTTTAGGGAGGATATATGACTCACTGTAATAAGCTAACTGTCAAAAATCAAGATGAAACCCACACTGGCCAGGTAATAATAAGACATTTGACCAGTTCAATGGAAGCAAGCAGGACATTCCCAATCAAATTTTGATGCTAAACGCCCCATACGCTAACCAGTTCTCACACAATCCCATTTTCGAGTGCCCTCGATTGAACATCACTTATCTGCACGTGAGCACTCACTCTGAGTCGCCAACATGTTGATACAGAACATCTGACCTTGTGTGTGTTTTGTTCCAATAGGGTGGCCCAATTTAACTCCCAGTTATTTCCTAATCCCATTTCAAATGCTTGTCAGACGCAATACGCTCATACCATAGATGGCTGGCGCTGCACCATCCACAGCTCCAAGCACACATCTCATTTCCAGTGTAAACCCGAAGGAATAAGACCGGGAGGCATGTGGATAGGAGCCATGTTACATCAACAGAGCCGGCTCACACTGCTACACAGACAAACAGAAGCACGCTTTACTTGGGAATGAAGCGCACACAAGACGGTGGCTTAACCGTAGTCCGCTGCACATCGAGTGCATGGAATCACTCTTCCAGCCTATCACAGCCACAAGGACCGTGCACCCCGTCCCCTCCACAACAACCAACTGTGTCCTGGAGCCAGTATGGACGAGGTAGTGGGTAATCACCAGGTAGGCACACTGTCAACACAAACACGTTCACACGTGGAACGTGTGACTAGCCAACCAGAACTGACGACAGACTCGCTCACAAACGCAAGCAGACAAAGGACATGAAACACAAGGGGTCAAAGGTCATCTGCCCAACAACCAGGCTGAAGGCGGATCGAAATCCCAACCAATAGAATTGCTCGCCTCCACGGGCAACCACAGCGGTATAAAAACGCACGCAAAGCGCGCTCAGCGCACTCACAACGAGATTCCTCTACGCTAGTACACGCCACTCAACTACGCACTGATGATGTCATCTCGATTGGTGACGAAACGTTTGCAACCAAATTGCCAAGCTCAGCGAACAGTTCAACGGCCACCTGAACAACCTGAGTTACCAGTGTTCAATTCTATAGCCAATGTTATCAAAGCTAACTACAAGTATCTTAAGCGAGGTGTGTATGTTAATAGAAGACAGTTCACGTAGACGTTAATGAGACAATATACCAAAGCCACCACCTGAAATAGAGACCCAGCATGCAAGTAGGCGGTTAGTAAAGCGAATTCAGCGTACCTACAAAAGCTGCGCCGGGTCTGCTTACGTTCTCAACCGCACCCGTCGTCGTTTCGGTGATGGTCTAGAGTGGTCTCGCTCATGGCTCAGGAGACCTGCCTGACTCATTCACTCGCGACCGCATGTGCTGCAGCACCATGCGCTCGATGTCAATGGAGTACTACCTACCGGCGCCTACAGCTTCTCCGCATGCATGAGGTCTTTTTCCTGCACCTCGACAAGTGCCTTCGTGATCAGAAAGCGCCATGCTTGCTGATCAACCGCCTTCGATTCCCATGATATGCAATCAAGGTTAGAACGTGAGAGACTCACTTTAGTCATGTAATGATAAGGAAGTTTCGGTGTCCCCGCAGGCCGCTTACCAACTCTCAGCTGACCATATAATAACTGCACATCAAGCGCAGCCACACTGGGGATGTCAAACAACAGCCAATCACTTGAGATACATTATCAAATAAAATATATATATATATATACGGATAGGTTGAGACAACGCTTCGATAAATTATCATATGAAGTTGGTTAGCAACGAATCCGCGAAAAGTACAAAATGTCCATAAGTTATTCAGAAATGCCACAAACGCGATAAGGTTAGCGAACATAACCACAAGTAGATTAAGTAACGGGTGCAAGTTAGCTGAAGGTTATTCAGGTAAACAGAACAAAGCAAATAAGGTGGGATGAAACTTATCCAGTTTAAAAAGACGTAAAGTTGCATACATTCATATATCACATAGACCCATCAAGCTACGAGTGAACTTGCAACATTATTGCATAGTTACTGATCCGTCGTGTTCGTATCACCATGGTCATACCTTTGCCGGCGTGTCTCGTAATGTCGAATAAAATATTAAGTAATTAATTACATGAGAGTAAACGAGTTACTTGTACCAGAACTGTTACACATCTGTACATCGGATAACGATATGTGTGTCTAATCAAGTGTAACCGTGCATACTTGTGAATGCCACCACACAAGCCTCTACTATCTCAGCTAGCACCTTCGCTGGAGATCCCAAAACACTAGCAAAAATGATTGCGCCAATTTGCAAACCGTAAAATAGAAGATAGAGCTGATGAAATCTAAATTCGCCCATTCCACTTGGGTAACAATCGGCAAATCAAGTCCAAGTCGAGATCCGCCTGACGCAGAAACAGATAGAATAAAACAGAATTGATTTGGAAAAAGTCGAGCGCTCATTTACCAAAATGCTCATGGGGTGCTCATCATCGCGATGTTCTCATCTCCAGCTCGATCTACGCTGGCTCTGACGGCTGAAAATCAATCTCTCTTCTCCACGCCATAATATACTCGCGAGTTTGCTCAACCAGTACGACCGTCGCATTACGTTAGGGCTCAACATATCCCGCTGGTAATGAGAAATATCTACTATCCTTATAGAAGACCAAGAAAATGTCCGCTCAAAATTCTTGGTGAGGTAGGCCCATCCGTGGAATAAGCTACCGTTGTAATTAAGAACCTGCGAGAGCCTGATTATTTTTAAAACGACGTTAAAAACTTTTCTTTCCGTGCAAAATGTGGCTAAAAGTTTTGACCTTCAGCAATCTATGAGTGCGCTCAAGGACACGGGCCCGAACAACGTATGGCGAGATTAACTATCATATGATATTACTTATTACATGTACAATAAAACATTGCATAACCCTTCCACAATGCATAGAGTTTATACATGAGAAAATAACGAAATTCGTACAAAATAATCGTTTTACAGAAAGGAATGTATCCCGTTCGTCGGGAACTATACTCACTTATTTACCCGGATGGGTGCATTTCTAACATTCCATACAATCAACTTCTAACGAGCTAAAAGGTCATTAAATATGAAAAATATTACAAATAGGCAAAGGGTGCACAGATATCATTCGAGTAGACAGTCCAGAACCTTCGAGCAAAGATCGCATATTGATGGAGAGAATTACAGGGATTTTTATCCGGTTGATGAGGCCAATTTTTGTTCCAACATTTCTTGGCAAATGATTTCCTTTTGACGCAAGTAACAAACTGCAAGTTGTGTGCAATGTCTTTAATATATTGCAAAGAGTCGGCGACCTTTAAAGTTGTCTAGCCAAGGAATTTGTCAGTATTTATGCAAAATCGTTATGTTAACAGTAGATAGAGTAAAAGAGATTTTTTGCAGAGAACGGCAACGGCCAAGTCAAAGACCCTGCTATGTGCACTACTGCTTCTGTGTTCCCTTTCCATGAGATCACGCGTGCACACGAAAAACCGACTGGTAACACAACCTACTCCGTAAAAAGCTGGACAACTGACTCTGACCCATACATATGTCAAAACAAACCGCATAACGTTAATCAACTGACCCGTTTGTATGCCAAACCGATTCCAGGTACGTCGTAAAAGGACGGCACTCGGTTGTTCAACCAGTTGGAGCCCAGGATGCACTGGACTGTTGATCCAACATTTGATAAGCATCATGGTGCAAGCATCGGAGCGAGGAATTCGATACATTCCTGGTCAACGCCATTGGCTCAATATCCAGAAACAACAAATAGTTGAGACGCGCATTGCATTACGTGAGATAAATAAAATCCACGCTATTTAACAACACCAAGTTCAACCAACGACGTGAACGACTTTCAACTTTACAAACAAAAGATCGAACCGCACCACACCATATGAAATGGAATAACCGTTGCAGCTCCGTTCATGTTGATCATTCGTATCACAGTAAAACCCAGAAATGTTAGCGAGGAACAATCGCCTCTACATGATCATTATGGAAAATTTCAATACTCTGACATGGGGTTTTATTTCCTGAATGTTCGAAGCGGAACATTCGGAGAAACCGAATTGATTGCGCAAAAACTGATTAAACACCTTGCCTTGCGGAGCACCATGACACATGTACTGTAGGGCTGCCTGTTGAAATGCTAGTTGATCTTGATTAAGCGAACGATATCGTCTTGCGGTTTAACGGTGTTAGAGCGGCATAATGAACCCCGAATACCCATTTAGAGTTGTCCCATTATTTGGTACGCACTTCGCACCTTAAAGTACAGTGTTGTGGCAGGACCACCAGTCACTTGATGACCCAATGACCCCCGACAATGAGGAACTCCAGGCAATTGATCAATCCACGTACCTTGGAAACTGCATCAGGAAAGATGAGTGCATAGCACCAGAAGTCAGTTCACGTATTTCGAAAGACAAAACTGCCTTTCAGGTTTGGAATATAAATCGGTTTTTGGAGGTTTTTATTATGGCAACGTTTCGCTCTTGACGCAAGCGCTTCTTCAAGCCAGGTGAAACGGTACACAATTGGGTTAGCTTTTTCTGGGAAAGTAAGGTGAAGATTACAAGAAATAATATGAACTATTGGACAATAGTGCTACAGGCCATTCTAGTGAAGCAACAAGCATCGAGCATTTCCCATTGATCCACGTCACCGGTCGTTCACATGTGAGGCATTCGCTTCCTGCAGCTGCTGACTCACGCTCCGACCTGAGTTCATCTGCCGGCACCTTTACGGACCGATCAGATTAACACACCCCGCCACGCGTTCGATAACTCCACCCCGTCCGTTCTGTTCAAACAGTTATTAGTCTTAATAATCTCGATCGCCTCAGCAACAAATCTTTGGCTTGTTGCTGGTAATCCCCACTTAAGTGTCTCGACAATGTCCCAATCAATCATGTGTCCTGTGTCGAGCGCGTTTGCGGCCACCGCGGAATCTCTTACTAGGGCCCTGTATTCAGGTTCATTTCTCGGTGGACGCGAAATGTGCTTCTTGTGTTCTGTTATCCTCGTGCGTACCTCTCTCGCTGTTTGACCTTTATACACATGTTCACAGTCTTTGCAACTGATATTACAAACAAAATTTGTCGTCCTATCTCTTGGAAGCGGATCCTTCGGACACACAAGTACTGAACGGAGCGTTTTGAAAAACCATTCTTATTGTTTCCGTTTAGTACTCGCCTGATTGCTTATAAGATCCCGCTTTTATAGGGGATTCCCACCGTCCCAATCCACTCCGTTGTGCGTCGCGGTGGATTTAGAGCTCTCTGCAACCGGCGTTTCACTAACCGCCTCGGATATGCACTGTCTAATAATTTGCTCATCGTTTCCTTACGAGCGGCCTTCTTGTCCTCTTCCTCTGTAAACAGAGTGGATACAACAGTGGTATAGACTTGTTTTGGATGACCCGAACTGTAATGGCTGGCTTGCCGAACAACCTCCTCGTGGTGCCAACTGGGTGGTTCGGGATTTTTCCGTTCCAGCAAATGGTTCGGCGGCAGTGTTCCAGAACGTGGTGGGTTTTCGCCTGGCAAGCGTTCACCCTATAACAAGCCACATATGTCCGTTTAACAACACTGTGAAGTGGTGGATGTGACTCGCCACTAAATAAAGTCACTGCATCTTGCTTCATCCTGGCGAAGCATTGTATTCCAGCAAATTTATGCTGTTATTCTGGGGAGCATTGGGCCCCTGTTTGACAAAGAAACAAAAGAAGGGCATATGAACTGAGCAATCAGTCACCGGCTCCCAATGGACGCGATTCCCTGAATTCGCTCCGCTGCCTTGCGGGCAGGCTATTCAGCCCAAGGCTTGGGTGGTGTCCCCTACTTCGGCATGGGTAATCGGGTAGTAACTCGCCCTCTGGCGAAACCATGGACTCTGATGTGTTGTGTTTCCATATACTATTGTTGTACCTTCTTTTGAGTCCATGGTTTCTGATGGTTCTATATCCATTCGTAGACTGTTGCACATATATATATATATATATATATATATATATATATATATATATATATATATATAACGGAGTACTCCGTCCGCATCTTTCGGCTTGTGATATATCGTCGTCTTTAACCGTCCACCGTTCCTATGAGCTAGGCAATCGACGAATGACGGTGTGCCACTACAAGATTCTAGTCCCATAGCAAAATTTGTTTCCATTAATGAAGTTCAGAGGGTTTGGAAACGCATTCTTCATATCCCGCTTTATAAGCACAAATGCGTCATCCACGTAGCGCCACCAAATCTATAGCAATGGCTGGCTGGCTGTGTTAATCCGGTCAGTCAGAGGTGTCAGCGGACGAACTCAGGTCGGAGCGTGAATCAGCAGCTGAAGGAAACGAATGCCACACATGTGAACGAACGTTGACGTGGATCAATGAGAAAAGCTCGATGCTTATTGTTCCACCAGAATGGCCACTTTACCTATTGACCTGTAACACTATTATCCAATGGTTCAAGTTATTTCTTGCAATCATCGCCTTATTTTCCCATAAAAAGCTAAGCCAATTGTTTACTGATTCACCTGGCTTGAAGAAGCGCTTTTGTCAAGAGCGAAACGTTGGCATAATAAAAACCTCCAAAAACGGATTTGTATTTAAAAGCTTCAGAAATCATGAGACCCCAGTCGATTCCAAGCATATTCAGACATAATGAACCAGAACTGCCTTCATGAATATGCGACATCTTTGGCGACAGAAAGGAATTTCCCTCCGCCTGAAAGGCCGTATTTACAAGGCCACAGTGAGGGCCGTCCTATCCTATGGTAGTGAGACTTGGCCCATCCGGTTTGGGGTGCCTTCAAGTCATTGATCATCGCTGTCTGTGGAGCAACACTGATGTCGGATGGCACCAGCGTGTCCACAACAATTATGGGGATGAGCGAGTGCTAAGCAGTGATACTCAAGCTGGTTCCTTAGAGAAACCGACAGCACTGCAAATTGCGTTGGCTTGGGCACGTACTACGTATGCGCGGTCGCTGCTTACCGAGGAAGGCCTAGATTTGTTTGCAAGATGTAGGGTGGCGAAAGGCTCCAGGTGGACAAAAGTTGACTTGGTAGCGGGAAATGACGTCACTGACGACCAAACTTGGTGCCGTCGGTCCGTTTCGCCTTCCAGACTGGAGTCCACGTGACCCACCTTGTTCTTGACACGAGAATTTACAGGACGTGGCTCGCAGTCGGTATCAGCTGCGCGTCCGCTGCTTCCGCCTAGTCGGTCTGTCTGTTTAACGTGGATTTGGTGCTGAGTTATCTGCGGGATAATAGGTGATCATGACACGGGGCAGTGAATGCCGCAAGTAAGCTGTCTCGCTGAGGCCGCACGATAGCCAGATGTTTCTGATGGCATGTTGTTGACAAGGGGTAGGCGCCTTGATCCTGAAGGTTTGCTTGGGGAATTAAGCTTTTCCGGTAAGCCCCTAACTCTTCCTCCTAATTTCCTTCGTTCTGTATGTCGTTGTGGTTGTATGGCAACGAAGCATCCGTTCAAATGGCTGATGTACTGCTGTTGGTGATCTGATGATGCACGTTCGTTAGCTGCCCCGATTCGGACTAGGTCCAAGTTTTGATACACGGGATAAATTATCCATTAAAATATTTTGCAAATCATTCTTGTGTAGCATCGATGACTTCTCATAAAAACCTCGGTACTTGTTCCCGATTGACGTGTGACCGGTGTGGTACAACAGTTGGAATTCTTAAACATTGAAGTAAGCGTGTCAGCCAAATTCGTGAACTTATCCATTCACTTATCCATGTGACGGGATCAACCGAAAATACCTCGAACACAAGAACAAAATGGCGGTGAGAGACAACCCATCCATGAAGTGTTCAAATAATGGGTCCACTGCGATTGCAAACATCCAAGATGAGACAAATGCTCCACTTTTTCCGACGGTATCACATCAACAATTGCCTATACGTCATATTCGCCGTATAGGAAATAACTAACGCAAAGATGAGTCATGCCGCCAACGTCGGTAGAACAAACATTTGTATACAACGAAAGTATCGAAATAATAACATTTTAATTTCTTATGCATAATAAAATCGTACGGGGTGAAAAGCGAAACTCGTGCGCAAGTTGGGCCACATACTTTTAAAATATCCAGACATATCACGCCTTGGCTGTTGATGTTACAGTGGTAGATGCGAGTTTTAAAAGTGACCTGTGCGTGGAAGATAAAAGTGATTACAAATAACACCTACCTTGGGCGGTTTAAACGGATATTCAGTGGAAAAGTGTATGTCTAGGAAAAAAATACCGCCTTCGTAGACGGATCCTGGAGGACCCAAAAGGGTAGAAACCCATTCGAACAGATTGTCATTTCGAGGGAATGCGCTATATTAACAAAAAACTAATAACGAGTGGCAACTGTACCTGCAATTCGGAGGAGGATCAGACATTATATCAGCTAACTCTTTCTGGATTCTAAAAGTAATGTGCCAGTTAGCGATTGGGATAAACACAATCACCGAAAGTTGCCGGTGAAACTGTGGTTACCTTTTTAAACTAGTGGATATAGCCTTGGACTTCAAATGTACGCTTGAAGTTGTTCTATGTTGGGATGTTCCATTTTGAACGGATGAAATGATATGATCGTCATCTGAAAGCTGATCGCTGAAAGCGGCCTCGAGAGTGCGCTTTCTTGAGTTCCGCCGCGATTCTGTACCGGACATCGAAATGTTCCCCTACGGTACTGGTGCGCGTCCCACGTTTAGACGCAAATGGGATCTAAACCTAGCGGACAAAAATAGATTTTCATATAAACAAGAATAGACAAGTGATACCCGCCGCTGCATGCATATATCGTACCAGTGAGTGAATTCGGAGGAAAATGTTTAGTTAAATAAATAAATGAAAAATAAATTTTCAACGAATCATGGGAAATGCCGTTCTTCAGCTAAGTAAATATTCCCATTGCATTCAAATGAATCAAGACCAGAGATCAGTTAAGGGTTAAGAATTCTTTTCGGAAAGTCTCGTCAGACCCAAACGTTTACATAACGGTGACTGTGTGACATAAGCGTCAAATCGGGCTGGGATTGATTTCTAAGGTATTTAAACGGTCAAAATCGATGAATAAAGGCGGCTACAGATGGCTAGAGAAGTGCACCAAAGGAACATTAATACATAAGCTTCAGCAGCCTAAACTAAATAGGTAAGGTCACAAAGGGGAACTAAGTAACCATGTCAGTCGGCCACGGTAGTGGTATCGGCCGTATGAATCGTTTATGTGCACATAATTCCGATGGTGGATGTAAATAGCCTCGGCAACAGACGAGATGCGCTTTCGGAATACTTGCGAGAAGCGTTTAGGTAGTGAGTAGATAACTTTAAAGTCATTCTAAAATACAGGATGGCCACATTCGAGGTGTCACATGATCGAGTTTTATGAGGATCTCATTTAGCCTAGAAGCATTGCTCCCAAGAAAGAGCTATTCATACGTTTGCCATTTAAGAGCGATACTGCAGCTGACACCTTATCTCGAAGTCTGAAAGATGCTGTTGAAAAAACTTATTTCGCAGCTCGGTTGAGAATGGTTTACCACAACAAACCATTGCTTGCAAAACCCTTGAAAGACAGTCTGCTCTCGTTGATCCGTTCAATGCTCGTGCTCCTGTGATGTACGATACATGGGTCGCACAACGAGACATCTATTCCGGAGGATACGAGAGCACATCCCGGCGTGGTTTTACAAAGGTGAAATGAGGTCCTCGAACGGCTCAATCATGTCGCATCTCGTCTGTTGCCGAGGCTATTTACATCCACCATCGGAATTATGTGCACATAAACGATTCATACGGCCGATACCACTACCATGGCCGACTGACATGGTTACTTAGTTCCCCTTTGTGACCTCACCTATTTAGTTTAGGCTGCTGAAGCGTATGTATTAATGTTCCTTTGGTGCACTTCTCTAGCCATCTGTAGCCGCCTTTATTCATCGATTTTGACCGTTTAAATACCTTAGAAATCAATCCCAGCCCGATTTGACGCTTATGTCACACAGTCACCGTTATGTAAACGTTTGGGTCTGACGAGACTTTCCGAAAAGAATTCTTAACCCTTAACTGATCTCTGGTCTTGATTCATGTGAAAAACAAATCCTCAGCCGTATGCCGTAACGGCGCTTTTCTGCCACGCGATCACCACCAGTCGCACGTGGGCTGAGTATACGGACAGGACGCCCGACCCTCAGCGGATTCGAACCGGTGTTATGGTTGCAAACCAAGCGGGCAGTTCACTCGGTCACCGGCCGAGAGGAAAATGTTTGGATATAAGGAGATGAGAACTCTCATCATTACCAACAACAGCACTACACCATTGAGTTGAAATGATCCTACGACAATGGTCTGGGAAAAGAGGAAAAAGAGGGAGGAAAGGAAGACATAATATGAAACCCAAATGCCCCGCGTAAACATTTAGAGCAAGGCGCTTGCATCATAAGGACAACGCACGGTTGCGCACAGCTGGCTACAGTATAAAGATGAGGCGGCATGGGCGAGATAGTTTCTTTGACTTCACTGCCCCGTGTCATAGTCTGCCATTAGCCCACAGATAACTCAGCATCAGATAGACAATCCGGCAGAGACGATAGAAAACACGCTGCTTGTTACGGCTGCGAGCCATATCCTGTAGGAACGGGCCAAACACAATCTGTGCCACGCAGACGCCAGCTTGAAAGGCTAGACAGACCACTAGGACCCAGCATAGTCGTTCTCGGCTTCCCTGCTCCCCGGTCACCTTGTTTTCTTCCGCCCGAGCCCTACGCCTTATATCAGGAAAAGAAAATAAGGCCCTCTAGAGTAGGCGGTTATCAGACACATATAGCACATACCCGAGCTAACGCAATGTTGTTTACCGTGCTAAGGAACTAGCCTGATTGTCACTGGCTATTACTCGTCAGTGCTTCGTCTTTGACAGATGCCGATGTCATCTGACACCCAAAATTGCCGGTAACGGGGATCAACGAAATGGAGGCGCCACGGATCCTCAGACCGAAGGGACCAAGTTTCACTCTCAAGGATCAGAATAGCTCGTATTGTGGTATTGTATATGCAAAATTTCAGACTGAGCGAAATCCTCTTCTGACTACTATTTCGCAAGAGAGGTTCTAGCTTACGTGAAATAGTCCTTGTTCAATGTCTGTTTTGGTCACGTGGATCCTACTAAATAATTTCCGGTGAGACAGTCGTGAAAACTAAGTAGATCGCGTTCACCCCTAACCGATCCGACAACGCCATCCAATCAACTACGAAAAAGGCAGGCGCCATTTCAGAACTGATAAATCTGTACATGTGACAAGCTCCGCCTACTAACAGTTCAGGTGATTCAGATCCCTTACACCCTGAGATTTTCATGTCACACATCAACGTTTTAAGCGCAAGCGAGACCTTACAACGAAAGTGACGGTAACTTGTAGACTAATAATAATTCGTCCACAACCGAAGCGCTAAAGCTACACTAAGTCAACCATAGATCTATTTACGGGTGTTAACGTTATTTTCAAGCGGGCTCACATCATACCTACTGCTCTCCCCCAAAGGAACATATAAAATCGACTAATAACCGTCTGTAGATCGGATACATCTCCTGCTGGTACTGTCGGGAGCCGCCAGAAATGATCACACACCTGCCCTGTAATCCGGAGGTCAACGGTCTGAATACTCGCGGTATATAAAGCCCACGTCGACCACTGGTGGCCCCGTGGTAGCGAAACGTAGGTACGATGTGACAGCGCACCGCCGATGCCTCTTCCTCTCTCACCTACTGGAAATGCCAGTCAGCGGATGGGAGCAAGGGGAAAAAAGCCGAGACGTCTCACCCATCACTAACATCATCCTCACATGCTAGCTGAAGGTAGAAACACACTTCAGCTAGTATGCTCAATATAAAAAGATAAGATATATGAAAAAGCGAAATGCAAAACATTACATAATTGATATAAAATCAAAAGGCGAGTAATATGAAGCTTAGCACCATATTACGCACCAGGAGTCAGATCGTAGTTGGGGGGGGGGAACAGCGGGAGGTACAGAGAAACTCACAACACAAAAGCCATTGAGACCTACTCATCGCCTTGTTAAAATGTGCACCTGATCAGACGTGTTTATGGTTCTTCGGAACCAAGCCCGCTAGTTGAAAGGCACTAAACGACGCCAAGTTCGAGGTGAGGGATGTCATTCCACTTGACCAAGTCGTCGCTTTGTCTTTCCTCTTCCTTCTCTTCATACAACCTCCGGTGCGCAAAAAAACGCACGATATGGGAGTCGGCGTCCTAACATGCGCAAAACGTCGTTCAGCCACGTGCGTGATGTAACGGCGCTGAGCGGTTTACTCATTATTCCTGAACTAAATAGGTGATGCATAACACGCTCATTGCTCACATGATGTTCGCACTATATATGAGCTAGTTGCGAAGACAGCGACCGTTGAACGTAACAAATCTGTGACTGATGGACCAGGTTTCGTAACCGTACCAGAGAGTTGAAGGCAGGGTTGCGTTGTAAATTCCGCTATTCAGAGCGAGATTTCGCGCCGGCAACACAAGTGGCGAAGAGTAGCAAAAAAGCCCGGAGCTTTTGCTATCCGGCATGTGTTTTCATCTTCGATCCCAAGGGCACTAAGATAGCTGCGAAAACACTTGAATTTCTAAACGACTTGTAGATGACACTGACTAAGGATCAGCGCAGGAGCGTGTACCATCCGATAGTGGAGATGGAATTTGCATTTGGAGTGTGCAACGCATAGCTTGAAACGACTGACAGCCAGTGCTGTTTGCATGTTTGGGAGTTGTCAGAGATGAGGGCAGGGTCGTCGGCGTATTCCAATTCAAGGAGTCCATCACATGGGAGAAGTTGCACAGCTTGTAGGTCGCAACCAGTTAATGCAGTTTTCATGACTTCGTAAACGGCGTAGTAAAAATGGTAGGGCCATAAGGGGCAGATTTGTCTCACACCGCTGAAGATATCGAAGGGCGGCGACAGTTAGCCAGGAGCACGAGCTACGCGTGACAAGCGCTCTGGTAATATTTACATATTTATCGGGTATACCAAAGGCCACATCGATCCACTGATTCGTATGCACCTATGATATCAAGGAACACGACTATATCGTGAAATAAAAACTACAGTAAGTTAAACAAAACGGGGAAAACAACCAGCTCTGGGGAACGCCATGTGTTGGCAGAAAGACGTCACATAATTGGTTGGAGACCTAAACGCGACCTGTACTGTCCGTGTAAAAGCCAAGCAGAATACTCATATACTGGATACGGACACTCATCTATAAACAGGTATATCAAAGGTGAATCAATGAACTGAATCGAACACCGTCACCAACAGCAGCACATCAGCCATTTGAACGGATGCTTCGCTGCTATAAAACCACGACATATGGAACGAAGGATAATAAGAGGGAGAGAAGAGGGCTTACCGGAAAACCATAATGCCTTACGTTATATCTTCAATATTTCTCGCTATTCCGAAATGAACACTCAAAAATTGCCCCGTAAAAAGTCTAGCCCAGCCGAAGAAAAATAATAAGCCCAACGATCTTGACCACGAAAAACGTGTTAACAAAAACGCTGCCAACGCAGCTAAAAATGCCGCCAAAAGGCTGTACCACTACGCTAGACCTACGCCAAATATATAGGGGGCTTAATGACCTTGGGTTTCTGGAAAACGAAGGTTAACTGGTAAAATTAGTAGCCTCCCTGCCAAAACTCCGTATGCTGGCGAGCACGTGAAGGAATGGAAGGTTCCGGAATCGTCAAAATCGATGTACGATCGAAGATAATCGAATAATTGCTAAAATAATGGTTTTCCTTCATAGTTTTACTTTTCCCGGGTACCTTAAGTAAACATTCATGATCAAGGCGCCTACCCGTTGTCAACAACATGCCATTACAAACCTCTGGCTATTGTGCGGCCTCAGCGAGACAGCTTACTTGCGGCATTCACTGCCCCGTGTCATGATCAGCCATTACCCCGCAGATAA